AGCTTCTTGTCCCCATCTGACTCTTAACTGACACAGCACAGCCCTTCCCTCCCCACTGCCTCTTTGTCACCATGGTTCTCCAAGGCTCCTCAGGACCGTGACAGCTCTGCCCCTCACTGCGCCGAAATGCCTCTGCCCACCGGCTTCAGTCACTGCTTGGGATTCTCCTCTGACTTCATGCATCAGAACTCAGGCCTCTTAACTACAGTGAAGAGCTTCTGCCGCCCACCAGGCTTTCCTATGGCTGCTCCAGAATCAACCAATGCTCATTCAGACGATCACTCAATTAATTAACCTCTTACTGGGTGCCTTCTCTCTCTGAGGCCTCTTCAAGTATCAGAGAAACCATAAGCAACAAGGGTAAGGTCTTGTCCTCACTAAACTTAGGGACTGTCAGAGGATTCACTGAAGATCACACTAATGGATGCACAGTTACTCCAAGTAATAAAGACTATGTGCACAGTGTAGTCTCAGCACTCAGGAGGCTGAGGCAGGAAGACTGCTGTGAGTTCAAGGCACCCTGTCTCAAACATAGAGAAAGAAAGAAGAAGTAGGGGAAGTTGAGGATGAGGAAAAGGATGGGGAGGAAGAAGAGAGTGAGGAAAGGAGGGAAGGAGGAAGAACTACATAGAGAAATACAGCATGCATGAAAGGAATGGGGGCTCAGACTGGGCTTCAAGGTCTCTACCTTGCCCTCTTCTTATGACTTTCCTATGCATGAGCCCATGGAGACAGGAATTAAAACTCTTTGCTTCTGGCTGAGAACACAGGAAATACTCAGTAAACACTGGTTTTGACACTGTTTTTTCTCTCCATCTCCTACCTCCTGGCAAAGGGCAGTTGTCCCAGAAGCACAGGGAAGGCTGAGGTGACTTCACCTGTTTGCTCAGCCTCTCTGTGAGTCCACAAGGACTGACAGACAGAGAAAGGGAAGAGCCACCCTTTCTTTGCCCCTACTCTGCCCAGCACAGTGCCAGACCCTTTACAGATGGCCTCCCTGACCCTGGCCACAGCCCATGGGCACAAGTGATAGTATAATGTCCATACTGCAACTGGGGAGACTAAGACCCAGAGCACTGGCAGCGGCCTGGGAGAATGCTGAGACAAGAACCCAGAGGAGCTGGGCCCTGGACCCATGTCCTTCCTGCCACCAGCAAGTGGCCAGGAGAGGCCAATGGCTGGAAGTAGCAAAAACTGAATAACAAAGCACTGACATCCATATAGATGCCAATCAGTTGAGACTCATTAAATAAATTTGGCGCACACTAGACTCTCACCACTCTGGGAGGCTGAGGCAGGAGGACTGCAAATTCAAGCCAACCTGGGCAACTTAGTGAGGTGTGTCAAAAATAATATATTTTTAATTATTATTTTTTTAAGGTACCGGGGATTGAATTTATAACCTCAGGCTTTCTAGGCAGGCGCTTATGCCACTGAGCTAAATCCTCAGCCCCATATATTTTTAATTATTAATAAATGAATGCAAAGGCTTGCATTTAATTCACAGTACCAACATACAAAATGTAGAATACTTGTTCAATAGAATCTGATGCCCTTGCTTAAAAATAACGCAGATCAATATCACCCATATTCCTATACTGGAATTTTTTAACCATAAACATGTACTGTATCTAAAATTACTACAAAATGAACATGAAGTTCAACTCCATAGATGTGTAAGAAACAGAGTATCTTTTATTTGCTTAGATCAATTTTCTTTCTATGCAAAGGTCTCTTCCATCAGGCTACCAGGAAAGTCAACTTCAGCCGTGCCACATGCCCTCCACTCTCTTACTCAGAGCCATAAAGTCCTGGGTCCCACATAGCAGCAGAGCAGTGGGCAGAGCAGGGAGAAGCCAGTGTCACTGGACGCCAGCCTGCTGGTTCCTGCCACAGTCCACCAGGGCCACAGGCTGCCAGGCCATGCACCAGGACAGCACCTCGGGCAGACTGGAACCTGCTTCCGGCCCACCACAGCCTCGCCAGCTCCCGGCTCAGCAGGGGACAGCGCGCCCCACCTTGTGCCCAGAACCCAATGGGCTCCAGTCCCCTTGGGTTCTGGGTTCCCACCACCCTCATGTGGCAACCAGAGTGGAGAGGAAGTGGGTTACCCGTGTGTTCTGCAGGTAACGTCTCTGCAGCTCCCTGCTCCCCCAGGACAAGAAGTCCCCGACTTTCTTCAAATACTCTTTGCAGTTCCTCCTGTTAGTAATCATACGCATGTGTTACATGGACACACGTACTGACTATATTCTGTGTGTGCTGTATACTATTGCTATACATTGTCCTGAGTAATGCAGACAAGTTTCTCTCATTTACTGTTTTTTATTATCCTTAAAATTAATGGACATCTCATTAATTATATTAGTGATAAATACATTCAGCTGCAAGGAACTTACTACCCAGCTACCAGGGCTTCAATACACCGGGATTTGTTTTCAGAAGCTGGCACAGCAGAGCTCGTACAGCAGCTCCCAGGTGCGCTGAGGATCCACACGCTTCCTCTTCTGAATCGCCATCATCCTGTTGCTTTCTCTCCCAGGTTTGTTGCCTTATTTTCCCCAATGACTGCTGTGACTTCAGCATCATTTTATGTTGAGAAAAGAGGAGCCTGGTGTGGTGGTAGATACTTATAAACCCAGCACTCTGGGAGGCTGAGACAGGAGGACTGCAAGTTTCAATACTGCCTAGGCAACTTAGTGACATTTTGGCTTAAAGAAAAAAAGGACTGGGGATGTAGCTCACTATAAACACCCTGAATTCAATCCCCAGTGCCTCAATCATCAATCAGTGCATCAATAAAATGGGAGAACTAGCAGTGCCCTGTAACAGGAAAGCAGACATTTTTGTGGCATTTCTAGGTAGATCCAACTAGCCCAACTATTTTCCAGGGTCCCCTCTGACTCTCAGGGAAGCTGCAAAGTGACTAGGTTCCTCCAGTCTTTGTGACAAGGGTGGGAAAGGGGAGAGGGAGTTGAGAATGTCTGCTGGTTAAGCATTGTCCATGCAGGAATGCACAGGGCTTTACAATTTACAAAGCAGCTAGTGTTGCCATTTTATAGAAACTGCAACTGAAGCCTACAAAGAGCAAGCAACTTGCCTAAGGTCACGCAGCGAGTGATGTAATGGAACTAGCTGTGCCTGAGGCTCATCTCAGGGCACCACCTGCCTGTTTCCTACATGATCTATGAGCTTTGCATTCACTCTGCCTGGACAGCACCCCACAGCCTGGGCACAGAGATGCTTAGGACAGGTAGTGTTGAGGCACCTCTGTAATAACAGCAGCCCAGGCCTGGGGTCAATGCAGCAGGTGTCTAGAGGCACCGCACAGGCCCTCAGGACCAAGGGCAGCTCCTTCCTTACAAGTCCATTAGGGCCAGCAGACAAAACAGCTGGGGTCCCGTGGGCCTTCTCCACAGGGAGACAGAGAGAGCAGGTGACAAAGAGAATGTAAGGGAAGGGAGAGACAGGGAAGCCGTATGGAGAGAAGACACAGAAGAAGAAAGAAGGGGCTGGGGAACAAGGGGGAGAGGACGTGAGGGAGCCATGATGCTGGGCAGCAGCAGGCAGGGACACCCAGCAGACGGGCAGGGTAGGGAGTAGGCCAGGCCTGAAGTCACCTCCCCAAGTTCGACAGTGTGACAGTCCTTGCAGAGGAAAAATAGGCCATGGAGACAGGGGTCAGGCAGCTTCACAGAGGCAGTGACCCCTACCCTGGGCCCTTAGCCCATCCCCTGGCTTATAACTCCTGCTCAGTATGTGTTTGCTGAATTAATAATTTGAAAACCATAAAGTAACAAGCCTATACTTAAAGGACAAAATGAGTCACTTGTATAAATGCATTAAAAGGTCACCAAAGGAGAAATGCAAAGAAGTGTGTGTGCCCAGCCTGCCCCATGGAGCTGAGCCTCTTCATCTGGGGGGCAGAGGGCAGGGCATCTTCAAGACCCAGCTCAGCAGAGAAGCCTGCTTCAGCTGCTGCCCCGCTGCAGGTGCCCACCCTCTACCCCGGGCCTGCCCACCTCTGGCTGCCCTCTGTCCCTTCATCCAGGGAAATGGTCCTGAAAGGACTACCTGCCCCTGCAGCTCTAAAGCACCCAGGCTCCCATTCTCTGCCTTCGTGCTCCTTGCTGGCCCTCCACCTGCAGGGCGGCGTCCATCTCCTCCAGGGCCCGACAGGCCTCCTGACCAGCCAGCCCAGCCCTCCCAGCTCACACGTCCTGGCACCCATCCACCTGGCACTGCTCGTTGCTCCTGGACCCCAGGTGCTATCCCTCCTGCCTGGGCTCTCTCTGGACCCAGCTTCCCTGCTCTTACTCCAGGCTGTCCATCCCCTCTCCTGGCCCACTGGGTACTCCCCTGGGGCCCCACAGAGCCCTGGGCTATCTCCTTCCCTGCACTCACCCCACAACCCAGGCATGCAGCCCCCTGTTCCCTGTACCTAAACCATGTCCACGCTTATTTGGTCACCCACAAGTGAAGCGGTGATCAGCCCTCAGCTGTGCTCATGACCAAGTCACAACCTGGAGAGCCAGGAGCTGAGGTAACTCCTGAGCAGCTGCTGAGCTGCCCACCCTGCAGAGGGCACAAGAGCCCTCTGATGATGGGGAGCCAGGACTGGAGAAGAATGGACCCACCTGGAGGACACACGAGCCCCACAGCTCCCACAGGAGCCAAGCTGAGGCTCAGCTGCATGCCCACACCTCAGAATTCAGTGTCGGTGTGCACTGCAGCAGAGGGTGAGGGTGCGACCGGCTTTTCACCACGGAAATGAGTGACAGCACAACCCCGCTCCCCGCCCCACTGTGTCCGCACCATCCACGGGAAGGGACCCCAAGGGTCCCACTACCTCCACTCCCCTTCTGTGGGCCCAGCCTCCCTCCTCCTGACACCTGCCTGGCCCCTCCTTCCTCCTTCCTCCAGCCTGCGACCCCCAGCCCCTCCGCGACCCGGAGGACAGAGCTCAGGCCCCTGTCCCTGAGGGCGAGGGACACAGCAAGTGGGAAGGCACACGCACAATCGTGTTTATTGGGCAGAGTCTTAGAGACTCCCTAAGGCACATGGTCTGGGGGGCCAGGGTGGGGAGGGCTTAGTGCTGGGCACCAAGTGCTTGCTGTCCTCTGTGTGGCTTGGGGTACCTCTCCTCCAGCCCAGCTCCCGGGGGTGTGGGTAACCAGGCAGGGAAGGGAGAGGCAGCTCTGCGGCCTGGGGGTGAGAGGGCAGGGCTCAGCTGAGCCTGCTGTGCCTCAGACCTGAAGGCACTGAGAATGGGGGCCCTGCTTAGGGGCCAGTCCTGTAGCGGGCAGCTCAGCCTGGCTGACCAGTTAGGAGGAGCAGGCAGTCAGTCAGCTGTCACGGAGCCCAAGATACCACCAAGTGGGCAGGCTGCAGGGGCGGCCTCAGCTGAAGTCGCGGTTGCGCAGGAGCAGGGGGGCCACCAGGGTCCACAGGTAGAGGAAGAGCCCTGCCCAGCTGGCGCAGATCTTGACCCAGACAGCGGTCCACGTGCTGATCATCTTGTGTGTCTCGCCGGGCCTAAAACACACATTTTCCTTGTGACCGTGGTCCTAGCCCCTGACCTGATCACGGTACTTGGGGCCCCTGGCTTCCACACTGGCTCTTAGCCTAGAACTCTAGTCCCTGTCTCTGATGGTTTAGCCACTTGGTTTTGTGACCCTGGACAACGCCATTCCTCTTGTATCACAGACCTGACTCTGACCTCAACTCTGATCTTTTTTTTTTTTGGTGTTTTTCGTTTTTATCGGTACCAGGGATCGAACTCACGACCGCCTGCTTGCAAGGCAGGTGCTTATGCTGCTGGGCTAAATCCCCAGCCCCCAACTCTGATCTTTTGTTTTAGTTTGTTGTTGTTTTTGGTTTTGTTTGTTTGTTTTGAGGCACATTCTTGCTCAGGTAGTTCAGGTTGGCCTGTAATCCAGCAGTCCTCCTGCCTCAGCTTCCTGAGTGCTGGGATTATAAGTGTGTACCACCACACCCAGTGAAAAGTCTGATCTTGGTGCCAGTCCCACGACCTGACTCTTGCTCTCTAATTGTGTGATCTTCATTCTTGGACCTCATCTTTAGTCCCTGACTTTGGGACCCTGCAGCTCCTGACCTTAGTCCTGTTCTCTCTAACCTTGTCTTTGATCCTTGGTCCTAAACCTAGCCTTGATTACCCTAATCTTTACTCCTTGACCTTGCCACTTCAACACCGGCTTTATGACCTCCCAAACCCAATTTTAACCAAATGACTCAGCCCTGTTGTACCTGTGAGTGTGTGTGAGAGTGTGTGCCCATGCGTGTGCATGGGTGCACGTGTGTCTCCACCTAAATGATTGTTATCCAATAGCCTTGAATAACAGAGTCAGGCTATGACACTGTGTGGCCCCAACCCCAGCCCTGGACCTCATGACTCGTATTCTTGATTTTGTGCTTTTGATTCTGAGCTCCACACTGTAATCCAAACCTCCAATCATGAATCGAAAATGTGACCCAATGATCCACCCCCTGATTTGCAAAGCCAGTGGCCCTGGCCCCACCTGGGATGCCCCCTAGTCACTTTGTGAAGTCTCTGGGGGTTGAGCAGACACTAAGGCATGTGGGGAATGGCAGCAGAATGGGGGCAGGCTCTGTGGAAGGTCCAGGAAGACCCCAGTTCCCATCCTCGAGCAGCACCAGGCTACTAGGAAGGGGTGCCTGGCACACTGGGTCATCCCTGCACGCCAGGCTCTGCGTACCTGTACCAGTTTGTGAGTGTCATCATGATGTGCAGGGAAGCCAGCACCAGGCAGAAGTGGAAGAAGGAGTAGCTATAGGTGACCCCATCCTGCTCGTTGTCAAAAACTCGGTTCTCAGCAGTCACTTGCTGCTGCTGCTGCTGCTGCTGCTGCTGCTGCATGGCCTCCAGCACAACGGAGTCCTCAGTCTGCATCAGGCTGTTCACCTGCCGATGGTCAGAGGAGCGCACGCTGCGGAGAGAAGGAGGCGGTCAGGGCTACTGCCACCGAGGTGCACGGGGAGAGAACAGTGGCAGTCCCTTGAGCCATGGCACTGGCCCCAGTGCTGGACACTGATGGACACGGAGCTTTGAAGGCCAGTGACCTGGGAGTTTGGCACTGGGTCCAGGAGTTAACAAAAATTTTGACTCAACCCTACCCTAAATCCCTGTGTGACCGTGAATAAGACACAGCCTCTCTGAGGCGCTAAGCCCTCATCTGTAAAACTGGGAATCATGGTGTTATTCACAGGATGCTGGGAAAACCAAATGGAATGATGACGTGAACATCCCAGTGCTGAGCCAGGCACAGAGTAGAAACTAAACAGTCCCTGTTGCTGGGTACAGCGCAGCACACCTATAACACTCAGGAGGCTGAAGCAGGCGGATAGCGCATTTAAGGTCAGCTGGGGCAACTTGGTGAGCCTTTATCTCAAAATAAAAAATAAAGAAGATTAGGAACCCCCAATTCAATCCCCAGCCCCCACAAATCACTATTACTATGATTGTTCATTTGTCTCTTCCACAAACATATTGAGTCCTAGTACTATGAAGCACCAAGCCAGGTGCTGCTAAATAATTAATAAGGTTAATAATTGATAGTGCTCATTTATCATTAACTTTAAGTTTTAGTTAACTTATCAATCGCCTCCCTTCATGTTTACGCTAAAAGGAGAATACAGTTATGATTGTGCACCATTAGTCTGCTATGATGACAATTTGATGTTTTAAACAGAATTTAACAGTTTGAGATATACACAATTTTGCGAAACCAACTTATATTTAAAAATAAAATAAAAAGCAGCACTGGATCTGAGCTGCCCCACAAAGCTGGCTGAGCTTCAGGGGATGCTGGCCACCAAAAACTACGGGCATCGGGTGCCCACCCTCCCTGAGCTCTCAGGGCTATGCTAAGCCTGGTACAGTCCTGCCAGCCTGCAATCCCAAGACTCTGGGAGACTGAGGCAGGAGGCTCTCAAGTTCCAGGTGGACAATGTAGTGAGAATCAGTCTCGAAATAAAAAATGATAAGAAGAGCTAGGGATGTCACTCAGTGTAAAGGGCCTGGGGATGGGGTTCCTCCCCCACCACTGAAAACAAACAAACGAAAAAGCTACACTGAGAGCAGACAGCATTCTGGAGCACCAGAAGAGCCCCCCCAGGGTAGCTGTAGGCCAGGGAGGTGCAAGTTTGAGGACTCTTGGTCAGGGAGGGGGCAGGACAGAAAGCCAGGGGAGGAGAGAAGGCTCCGAGTCACCCCCCAGAGAGCACAAGGCAGGCGCCATGGTGCACCCGGGGAAATGCTGGGCCCAGGAGGCACACTCTGGGCTGCCAGAGTCAGGGTAAACAATGAGGCAAACCCGGACCCTGACACCAGCACCACAGCCACACACACTGCCCTGGCGGTGTGAACAGTCAGGCTATCGCAGCCCCTACGCTGCACCTACTTCTAGGCAAGCTCCTAGCTGCACGGGGGATTGAACTCACGACCTCAAGTCTGCCAAGCAGGCACTTATGCCACTAAAACCAAGACACAGAGAGGGAAAGTGACTTCCCCATGGCCACCCTGCCTGCACAGTGGTAGTGCCAGGGTCAAAGGCAGGCAGTTTGGCTCCAGAGTCCACACTGATAAGCACTTAAGCACTCCTGAAAATGTCCCTCTGAAAAAGTCACAGTGCAGCTGGGTGTGGGGCCTCACAGCTGTGATCTCTGCTCCTCAGAAGGCTGAAGCAGGAGGCTCACAAGTCTGAGCCTGGCCCAGGCAACTTCCTGAGACCCTATCCCCTCATAAAACGTCAAACACATCTGCAATTCCAGTATTTGGGGGTTGAGAAGTTCTGGGATATAGAGTAAGAGCCTATCTCAAAGAAACACATATGAACTTGGGGTTTTGTTTTTGTTTGTTTTTATTCGTTCTGAGGCAGGATTTCACTATGCAGTTCAGGCTGGCCTTGAACTCACTTTGTCACCCAGCTTGGCCTCAGACTCATAGTGACCCTCCTGCCTCGCCCTCTCAAGTGCTGGGACCACACACCCAGCTGTTTTGGTTTTTTGAGACAGGGTCTCCCCGTCTAGCTCAGTTTGGCCTTGAACCCACTATGTAACCCAGGCTGCCCTCAAACTCACAGCAATCCTCCTGCCTTGCCCTTTCAATAAATAAGCAAATATTAAATAAAATTTTGGAGGAAAAAAGCTAGAGGTATAGCTTTCTGCTTTTTCCCTTGGGTTCAATATTCAGTACACACTCAAAAAAATCATTATGCCACTCTGTGATCTGTAGCAGCAGGAGCTGCCTTCTCTCGGGGGAGATTATGGAATCACCTCCACCACCATGGAGCTCACCCTCCTCCTCTTCCTGAAAAGGAACTAAGGCTTAGAAAGGTTAAGCCACTTACCCAAGGCAACACAGCAGGTGAGAAAGAAAGCCTGGGCCAGCTGTTTCCAGTGCAAGGACTTCCCGGACCCCACAGATGTCCAGACCCCACTGCGCTGGAGTTAAGCTGGCCTGGGTACAGCCCGGCTCTGCTGTCCACCAAAGTTGTGTCCTTGGCGGGACTTGGTGTCCTCACCAGCATAAGTCAGGGCTGCTGAGGCTCCCGTTTGACTGTGCTGCCCGGCTCCTACATCCTCCCCTCACTGCGGGCTCTGGGCCCCCCACTATGACCCTCCCCAGGGACCCACATCTGAGTACCTGATGAAGAGGGTGCACAGGATGAAGATGACGAGACCCACGATGCTAGGTGCGTCCCACCACTGGGTCTCATAGCCCTCGGCCAGCATGGTATCATTGCTGAGCTGGGTCAGCAGGTGCGGGTTACACTTCTGGTCTGGAAATGGGAACACCATCACTTTAGGCCAGAGCCAGCCCAGAAGACAAGACAGACACACAGACTTGGCCAACCAGGCCCAGCAGTAGGTAGCACTTGGTAGACAAATGACAGACAACTCCAGCCCAGACAATTCTCCCCACTTCCCTGAAGGACTGAGACTCAGGACGTATGGGAGCTCAGAGGTCCCTTCACTAGTGAGGGTCCCAAGCCCTCAGCAGGCTGTTTGGAGGCCAGACCTGAGCCCATACTCACCAGGGACATTGGATAGGGCCAACCAAGTGACAAACATGGTGTACAGCGTGACAACCGAGGCCTGCAGCAGCCCCGAGTTGGGCTGGGCTTCCTGGAAAAAGCCATACACTGCTAAGACCTCTGCCGGATGGGGACATCCCACCCCCACCCAGCCCACTCCCACCGACCACCGTAACTCCTCTGAAACCCCATACACCTGGGGATGTCTCCCCACCCCATCTAGGTCACTCAACACCCTCCTTTTCTTATCTTTTCTTTTTGAGGCAGGATTTTGCCATGCAGCGTAGGCTGGCCTTGAACTCACTTAGAAGCCCAGGCTGGCCTCCAAACACACAGCAATCCTTCTGCCTCAGCCCTGAGTGCTGGGATCACAGGATGCACCACCACACCTGGCTCACCACCTTTCTTGCCACTCAAAAGCAGGGCTCTCATTCTTCATCTTTACACCTCTTGGATTATTCCACTTCCTCCCTTCTGAAAACTCCCCAAGGGCGGCGGCATCCAAGCAGCCCTGGTTTCCCAGTCTCCCCTCCCCTCTGCCTCCTCCACCCACGGAACCGCCAGTGCTTCTCCTGCCCCGGCCCCAGCTCCATGTGCAGCGCTGGGGTTGAGCTCAGCACCTTTGCACTGAGCTACATGCCCAGGCCTTTTTAAAACTGCCCAGCTTGGGGCTGGGGATGTAGCTCAGCAGCATAAGCACCTGCCTTGCAAGCGCGCAATCGTGTTTGATCCCCAGTACCAATAATAATAATAATAATAATAAAATAAAATCGCCCAGGTAGGTCTTAACTTGCAATCCCCTGCCTCATCCTCCTGCGAGATCATAGGCATGTGGCACCATGCCTGCTGGTGACTCTCCTTGGCATGTTCCTTCCCGCTATCTCCAACAGCAACCTCTCTCTAGTCCTCAAAGAGCACCCCCAGTGAAGCCCTGAGAACCCCAGTTCCGCCAGCCCACACCTACTTCTCCTTTCCACACAACACTTAATACCAAAAGGCCCCTGGCTGGGCCTTGGGCCCTGCTGCCTGTCCTCCCTCACCCCTCCCCACACTGCGCTTGAAAACAGGAGGTGAAACGATGATGAGCGCAGGCTCCAGCGCAGCCTGTCTGGGCTCAGTCCCAGCCCGCCCATTTACAGCCTCGGGCCTTGGCTAAGTCTCTGTACTGCCTTAAGCCTCCATTTCTGTGTCCGGCAGGTGGGGAGGGTGATGGCGAGTGGGCCAGATGACAGACAGGACAGATGCGGAGAGCTGTCAGCCGTCACTGTCATTCTTCCTCTCCCTCCTCACAGTCTACGCCCAGCCCAGCCAAGGACCTGGAACACAGGGGCACTCGAGAGGCCCTCGCTGAGTGGACCCGGATTGCTGTGTGACTGGACAGCTCCTGCCGGCTCTGGTCCTCGACTTTCTCACCCGGAAGTGGATGTTCGTGGCAGAGAGTAGGGGGAAGAGATGTTCTTCCTGACTTTGCTGTTAGACTCTGACAACCCCTGAGCTTCAGGAAGACCCACCAAGTAGACCTGGGAAGCACCACTTGTCAGATAGGGGGCCCAGAGGTGCTTCTGAAGGACAAATGGTGCCTCCGGGGCGTCACCCAGTCTCTGCCCTTCCTAGCACCATTCCATGGCTCTTGCTAACACTCTCCTCCCTTGCAAGAAAGCAAAAAAAAAAAAAAAAAAAAAAAACAATGACACCAATAAATCTAGCCCATCTGATTGGCGCCTGTGGGCCAGGTGCTGCTCCAAGTGTTAATCCCGAGAGCGACTCCAAGCAGCAGCTATTATTATCATTGTCCCTGCTTTATATTTGTGGAGAAAGAGAGGCACAGAGAGGTTAAGACACTTTGCCAAACACACCCAGCACGCAGCTGTGAGAACCAAGACAGCCTGGGGGGCTGTCGGGGAGCCCACAACACCCTGGGACAGTCAGCCCTGCTTCCTCCCTTCCTTTTTTTTTCCAGACAGGGTGTCACTCTGTAATTCAGGCTGGTCTTGTATCACTATTGCAGCCCAGGCTCAAACACACGGTGATCCTCCTGCTTCAGCCTCTCAAGTGCTAGGATTATAGGCGTGCATCACCACATCCAGCTTTGCGGTTCTTACAAGGACTGCCCTGCACAAGGGACCGTGCTGAGGTGAGGCAGCTCACCTGGACCTTGGGCAACACAGCGACGATGGAGACACACACACAGAAGACGAGGTTGAGGCTGATGAAAATCTTGCCCTCGTGGCAGGTGCCGGGATGGGTGTAGTAGATGAAGAGCAGGGTCACGGCCGCGATGGAGAGTGCGTAGAAGAGCAAGGTGAAGAAGAAAAGGCCTGGGTGGAAGGAGGAGACCAGCTCAGGGGCAGGAGGCACAAGGACCCCGACCCCCAGGCGTGGGAGGCTTGGGGCCCCCAATCGCTGGCCCCCCATAAGCCTTCGTGTCCTCGTTCAGGAGTGGCATCAGGACCTCTGTGCACTTCTGCCCGCTGTGAGCTAAGATTGCTTCCTCACTGCACGAAGGGGGCCCCAGCATCCAAGCACGGACTCAAAACAAATGTGTAAACACAGAGCCAGGCGCCTGGCCGTGAGAGGCCGAGAGAGCTGGGAGGCCGCACCACACCCAGGGGAGCCTTTAAGGACCCAAAGGGACATCACGGAAGCCATTACTATGTGTCACCAGAACCTGGTCTGGGCACCTCCTGAAGGGCCTCATGCATGGCTGGTCCTGCATGGCCAGTCCCGTGAGAGCCACTGACTCACTGACCTCAACCCCTAGGCCTGTCCGGTCTGCTCTCTCCTTCCTGGCCTCCCACCTTCCCAGCCTGTCCACCCGGGCAGATTCAGTTCCTGCCCAGGGCTGGGGATGGCTTGGCTGCCCCAGGCTCTCACCAGCCTGGGGAGCCCTGGAACCCACAGTCCCCAGAGGGCAGGCTGGTGGCACTGACCTCCGTACCAGGCGCGGGAGTCACACTCCTCAGCCTTGCCCAGCCACAGCTGGTTCCAGGAGTGCGCAAAGTCGATGAGCAGAAGCAGCTGGATGAGGATGAAGAGGAAGGAGCCCACGACGCCGAAGTAGAACCAGACTGCGTGGGGAAAGAGAGTGAGGCCAGGAGGTGCGGGAGCCCCGGGACGGATATGTACCCCTCACCCCTCACACACATCTCTTCATTCAGCCACCCATGCCCTGCCCTGCAGGCACTGAAAGAAGCTGAGGCTGCCTCAGGGAGTGCCAGCGGCAGGTCACAGTGTGGCACGGAATGGTCTGGGGCCTGGTGATCCCCTCACCCTGCTGCCAGAGCTGCGAGTCCCAGCACCAGCAGCTGCCTCATGGCAGGAGACAGCAGCCAGGGACAAAAGCAGTGCCCCACACTCCTCCACCGAGGCCCCACAGCCCCCTGCTCTCCCCTCGAGCCCTACATTGCCCCCCACTCCACTTACTATTGGAGAAGGAGCCATCGGGGATGTAGAATGCACCCACGGTGATGCCCACAAAGATCAGGAACTTAAAGAACCAAAACCTATGGTGGGGTGGAGGGACATGAAAGCTGAGTGGAGGCTGGGCCGCCAGAGGCCAGGCCAGGGCCCAGAACCACCACCCTAGAGGACAGACAGCCAGCGAGGAAAGGAGGGATCTTCCGATGGGATCAGAAAGCCCAGAGGGGCAAAGAGGAAGGAAAGAAGCAGCGAGCAGGGCTGCCTGCTGTCACGGCCAACACTGTGAACTTAGGCATCCTGTGGCCCTTTCCTGAGCTTCCTGTCCACATGTAAGACAGGGGCATAACCCGATGCACCGCTCCCTGTGCCACGTCCACCTGGATTCAGTGGCTCCTGAGTCTGAGGGCAGCGCCTAAGGATCCCTGGAGAGAGGCAGAGGAGAAAAGCCGCAGGGCAGGGTCTGCGGGGCCGCCCCCTCACCCGTTCTGGATGGCAGCGCGGGGGTCCCGGCTGCTGCGCACGCAGACCATGAGCAGGGTGAAGAGGAAGAAGAAGGCGGCCGTGGCGAAGCACATGCGGTAGACAGCGCGGAAGCCCAGCAGGGAGCCGCAGTCGATGTGGCCCTGCAGGACACTGGGTGCGTCGGCGCCCTCACACACCCAGGGCAGCTGTGGAAACAGACAGACCGTGTCGTGATGGCCCTGGATGGAGCTCTTGCAAGGCTCCCTGGAGACCAAGATCAGTCCCAGACCACCTTGTGGTCACCCGAAGCCTCAGTGCCATGCTGCAGGTTTCCCTGTGTGGCCCTCACCCACCACCAAGAAATGGCCACTGCCTGGGACTTGGGGGAACTCTGCTGCAGTCAGGTCTCTAGGGTGAGGTCTGAGAGCCACACACTCCCGGGGATCCACACCAAGATGGGACAGCCCTGTGCCAGGCCGTGAGACAGGGAGAAAGGAGGTAGACAGGATCCCCAAGTAATGGGTATAGCATTTTCCAAGGGGACGGTGGCTTTTAAGAAATGAGAATCCAGTATGAGGATCAAGCCCTCCTCCCCACCGCTGCTACCCAGAGATCATCAGTGAACCCAACTCCTACCACTCCCGCCCCCAGCCACTCACCTTGTGGAGCTGACTCTCCACGCCAGGGCTCAGCATGATGATAGACACCAGCACCCCCAGGAGGAGAAAGCCAGTGAAGACCAGGCGGCTCACAGTGGAGTTGCGGCTGGAAGGGCAGCAGGAGCACAGGATGCAAGGGGCAGAGCCGCAGAGGCAGGAGGCCTGCAGGGGACAGGGACACTGGGCACTGTCGCTCCCCACCACCGCACATAGCACTGCCCACCACTGCCCACATGGTGTCTCCAAGTCCCACTGAACTTCCCCCAGATGTCACCCCCTCCAACGTCCAAGCTGCACAGGAAGCTGGGAACAGAGGACCCAGTAACTTACAAAGCCAGTAAGCAATAGATGAAAAGCCAGACCCATTTCAAGTGCTACTGTAGCTTTGGAAAGGCAGGGCTGGGGTTGTACTGTTTCCCACTTAGGGCAGTTTTTTAAAAAAGAAGGCCAACTCAGTCCTGAGTACCTGTGTGACCTTATACAACTCGCTCTATTGCTCTGAACCTCAGTTCCCTCATTTATAAAAAGGAATCCTAATTGAACCTACTCCTCGCACGGCAGCTTAAGGACCAAACAGAGAGCCTAAGTTGTGAGCCCTCAGATTGTCTCTCCTCCATAGAATTTACTATTGCCTGATGTGCCTTGTATCTTACTTGCTTATCTGCCTCCCCTTTCCAGCAGGACCGGAATTCTGTCTGCTTTGTTCATTGGGCAATTCCTAGAAACAAATGATGTCTGACACTTAGTGGGAGTTCGTGTACTATCTGTGGAATGAATATAAAGTGCTTAGTGTAGGACTAGAAACATGCCAAAAACTGAAAACAGTTGGGTGTGATGGCAGGTGCCTGAATCCCAGCACTCAGGAGGCTGAAGCAGCAGGATTGCTGCAAGTTCAAGGCCAGCCTGGGCTATAAAGTGAGTTCAAGGGGAAGCTGAACTACCTAGTGAGATCTGTCTCAAGAAAAGAAAAAAATAAAAACAACGTGAAAACAGCAAGCATGCCAGGTGTGGTGGTGCACACCCATAATCTCAGCTTTTCAGTCCCAATTTAGGGAAAATGTGTCTCCAAACAAAAAAATTTTGAAAGAGGTTGGTGGTATAGCTCAGTGTTGAGAGGCTTGCCTAGCTGTGCTAGGGCCTGCGTTCAGTCCCAATGCTTCAAGAAAAAGAAAGAAGGAAGAAAAACAAAAGAGGAGGAGGAAGAAGAACAAGATGAGGTGGAGGAGAGCAGGACAAAGAAAAGGGAAGCAGAGAGAGAGCAGGAGAGTAAAGCCCGTTGGGAATATCTGGCATGCACGGAATTAAAACGCCCATGGTTACCGGGAGGCTGTTCCAGGCTTGGACAGCAGGTGGCGCTCTAACACTTCCCTCGCGGGTAGTGGGCCTAGCGGGCAGTCCAGGCTCCTCGGGGGCCAAGAAGCCACACCATTCACAGCTGGTGACCAAAGAAGGCTCACCCCTCCGGGAGCCCGTCCACACCCAAGCTTTGAAGACGCAGGCTGCGCACCTGCCTCTCTCTGGTACACACTATCTTCCCAAACACTGTGGCACCAAACCCTCACCTGGATATCAGAGAGCCTGGAGAGCGAGAGTGGGGTACAGAGGGGTGCAGCTGCCTTAGTCACGGCGCCTTCTCCCCAGACTGAAAATGCCTGGGGAAAGTGCTCGCGTGTGTGTGTGTGTGTGTGTGTGTGTGTGTGTGTGTGTATGTTTGCTTGTTTTAATTTTTTACTTTGGGGCACAATCTTGCAGTCACTAAGTTGCCTAGGCTGCGCTCTGACTTGCAATCCTCCTGCTTCAGCCTCCTGAAGTGCTGTGATTACAGGCACTGCCACCAGGCCCAGCTTGGAAAACGCTCTTTCTCATCCATCTCTCTCACCCACAAAGCCAAGTACAACATAAATTGTAAATGCAATGCACACTTGGGGAATGAAATTATTCTGGTTACGTCCCGCAGTTGCTAACTCAAGCCCACAACCATCAGAGTGGGAGTGGGGTTAGCAGAGACAGGAATAAGGCAAAAAAAAAATGTCTTGTCAACCATGAGGAGTATGCTAGCATCACAGAGCAGACTGTCAGCTCCATTTTACAGGTGTGCATTTAGACCAGAGAAGTTCAGAATCTTACCAGCAGTCACACAGCAAATCAATAACAGTACTGAGATTCAAATAATCAAAGAGATAACCACCATATTAAGGACCAGTCATGGATAATGGGAAGCATTTATCCACACTATGCCTCGCTGACATTATGAAGTATTCTGTAACCTTTAATTTTCAAAATGGGAAGCTGAGACTCAAAAAGTTGTGTGACTAAGATCATAAAGCACAGAAACTGAGGGGCTGGGATTTGAACTCAGGTGTGTGCGACAAGGGCCAGGCGCTACCCATGTAGCCACAATGCTTCCCAGTCCACTATCCCATAAAGGAGTCCCCCTTAGAAATGCCCAATGCAGAAACAACCCCTCGGAGACCAGAGGAAAGCAAGACGCCCAAGAGGCTCTGACCAGAACCCTGGTGCCAGTCCAGCCCTGACTCTGGCTTGTTCCCACTTCAGTCAGAGACTTTTCTTCTTCTTCTTCTTTTTTTTCTGGTACCGGGGATCGAACTCATGACCGCCTGCTTGCAAAGCAGGTGCTTATGCCACTGAGCTAAATCCCCAGCCCCATCAGAGACTTTTGAGACGAGAAAAGCTGCCCTACTACCCTGGAGCCCTGCCTTTCAATTCACTCTGGTTCATAAAGTTCAAAATCCAGGCGTTCCTGACACCAGAGGCTGAAGATTCGGAGCTATCAGCAGCCAGAGATGGGAAGGGCAGAAATACACATGGCCTCTGCTTTCCACATCTCAACACCGGGTGGCTCCTTCGTGAACCCCTTTCTCCAGACACACACATACACACCCACACAGGCGCACACGCACACACACACACACACACACACACACACACACACACGGAAGCGTGCCAAGACCATGCTCACAGCAGGAAATGAGGGGACCACTCGCCTCGCAGCCACCATGAGGGCTTGGGTAACCTTGACAGAGGCACATTTAATGGTGTAAAAATTACACCATGATCCAGTTGAGTATATTAACATAAAAAGATTGAGATTTCACAGAGAAAACTAAAATAGGAACAAAGTCTTAGGTTTTTGTGAGCTTATTAGAATCTCAGGAAACTGCCGAAGTAACCAGCATGTCCATCACCCGGGGACGGGGACGGAGAGTTAGAGTGGGGAAGCTGGGTCACCAGCCCCGGAGCAACATGGGCCAGCGCTCACAAGCTGTGGGGAAGGCCAGGCAGGGCACAGGCCGGGGCCCAGAGATCACAGCCACTCCCCACTTCCTGGCCACACACCCACACCTGCACCTGGAAAGACAGCAGCAGACAAGCCCTCAGCACGCCAGGGGCCTGGCCAGAATGCACAACTCAGAATTCAACAAGCTCCAGGCTTTATAGCCTTACAGTAATGCGGTCTCCTGCCATTCAGCCAATCCAGTTTCTTTCCAAAGAAGAATCACCTAGTATGGTAGTACATGCATGTAATCCCAGGACTTGAGAGGCCGAGGCAGGAAGATCAAGTTCAAGGACAGCCTAGGCTGCCTGCACACTGCCAGTGACAGACAGCTCGTTCCTTCCCAAGGAGGCCGAACGTACAGCTCTGGAGCCCGGAGCAGTTTGGCATGGTGGGGACCAGTGTCAGTCACTCAATCACACTCTCTCCTAGTGGTCCACAGAATCAGCAATAGAGGTTTTTAAAACCACTCCAAAGGTACCGGGTAAGTAGGAGAGGCAGCTCAGAACTGGGCCACAGTGTGTGTGTGTGTGTGTGTGTGTGTGTGTGTGTGTGTGTTTTACTTTGTTCTCTGGTACTGGGCAGTGAACATAGGGCCTTGAGCATGCTAAAAAGTGCTCTACCACTGAGCTACATCCCTAGCTCTGTTTGTTTATTTTTGAGACAGGGTCTCAAATTACTCAGACTGGCCTCCAACTTGCCACCTTCCTGCCTCAGCCTCTTGGGGAGCTAGGATTATAGGTACGCATTATCACATCCTATTGGATCACAGTTTTGATTTGTTTTGCTTAAAACAAACTGGCCCTTCCTTTCTGGATGTATGCCAAAGGGAATGAAGGCAGGAACTCAGTCACTCACACACCCAAGTACACAGCAGCATTACTCACAAGGAGAAATGTGGCCCAGACATACAATAAAGTATTACTCACTCTTTAAAAGGAAGGAAATGTGATACATGCTACAACATGGATGACCCGAGGACATGATACTAAGTAAAATAAGCCAGATTCAAAAGGACACACACTGTATGAACCTAGAGGAATCAAACTCATTGAGAGAAAAGGTGGACCCGTGGCTGCCGGGGATACAAAGATGGAAAAGTGGATAAGGGTGGTGGTCACGGGGCATAACAATGCCAGTGTACAGAATGCCACTGAAATGCACAACTTAAAAGTGGCAAAAACAAGCCAGATGTGGTCGCACATGCCTGTAATCCCAGCTACTCAGGAAGCTGAGGCAGGAAGATCCCCGGAGCCCAGAAGTTCAAGACTAGCCTGGAAACCACATGCCACAAGACAAAAAAAAAAAAGGAAAACAAAGGCTACAATGGCACATTTTAAATGATGTCTGTGTCACCACAGGAAAAGAGCAGGGCAGGGAGCAGCAGGAAGTGAGCCGGGTGAGGAGGTCCTACCACAGCTCCATCAACACAGAATCCTACAGCGGCTGTGGCGGTACAGGAAGCGGCACCCAGCGTCCCTGGAGACTGTGCCAGGGAGACTGGACTTCACCCCAAAGGCAGTGGGGAGCCACCGCCACAGGGAGGAACAATAGCAGCTTTGCATTTTAGCAGGATCACTGGCCACCAACTGGAGGACAGGTGGAGGTGGTGTGCAGGATCCTGTGAGCAAGGAGAGGGCTCGGGACCGTTTACAGGACCAGAGAAGCGACAGGAAGGGGAGGGCAGATTGTACCTTTATTGTCCTGTGCCTCAGACAAACCCACTCTTCTGATGACACTACCCATGGCACCGATATTATGAAATTTTAGCATATAGAGAAGATCCAGCAACACTCATTCACCTCCCACGTCTACCCTGGGCCAGCCCTGTCCCTAGGCAACCGGGATGAGGGGAGGGGAGAGACTAGGAGCCAGATGGAATCCTTACTTCACAGTTCTCCCACCCTAGTGGGGGGGGGGCGGCGCTGGTGGCTCACTTCTGTAATCCCAGCACTCAGGAGGCTGAGGCAGGAGGATTGTTGTGGGCCACAAACTGAGCTCAAGGCAAGCCCAAACTGTATAGCAAGACCCTGTCTCAAAATAAAAAACAAACAAAACAAAACCCAGTTCTCCCACTCGGTCCCTGTGCAGCCTCAGGCAAGTGAGCTAACCTCTCTGAGCTGCCAGGCTCAGCAGCTGCACAGTGGGAGTCCATGACGCAGGACTGCTGCACTTGGCTCTGCACTAGCCCCAGATGGAATTCTCCACCTACTGGTCTTCACACTGGAATGTTTCTGGCAAGCACTCACTGTATTCCAGGACCTTTGCTGGGCACTGGGCACCTTCCGTGACTTATCATTTAATCTCCCAACAGCGCTGCTAGCATCCTCATCTTGCAGGTGGGGAGACTGACGCACAAGGGACTGATAGTCTCCTCTCAATATTTACACCCTCCTCCCCCCACCGTGCGCGGGGCTGTGCCTAACCAGTGGGAACCTGGAGGGAATGGGGCGAATCCGGGAAGCGCTCCCTCAGGTACCAGGAAGCAGGCTGCTGGGCAGAGACCGGCCCAAACTGGCACACTTTGGACAGGAAGGGACTCGAGGCACCAGGTGACCCCTGGTCCGGGACACATTTACAAACACCCACATTTCACAGAGAGAAATAGAGGCCAGGAGAAGGCGAGGGATGTCGCCTCCAGGGACCCACGCTTCAGCTGCCCTGAGCTGAGCTCACTCTCAGAAAATGGCTACAAAGTAAATCTCCCATCCCCAGCGCTGGCCCTGCGCCCCTCTCCCAGCACGACGCGCAAGTCAGAGACAAAGAAAACCAAACCCTGAGCTTGCCTTCCACAGCCGCTAGCGCCCCTCTTCCCCCGGCCCCTCTTTGTGTGGGACCCGAGGGGGAGGGAGCTGCCTGAATGAACCTCAGATTTAATGAAGGGAAGAAGGGGCTGGGAAAGGGGAAAAAGAAGGGGCCTCCCAGCTGGGGTCTGGCTGGAGCCACTCTTCTGTGCTGGCTGCTGCTCCAAAACAGCGCTGGCTGCCCCCGGCCCCAAACCCGGCAATCGGGTACAAGCACCCAAATCTCCTCAGTTCCTGGGTCTCCCAATCTAAAGTTTGGCCCAGGCAGTTCCACACAAGCTGCACTCGGGGCCCCGAGGGGGAGTGCCAGGGGCAAGCCCCGGACCCCACGAAGCGGGAGTGGGGTGGGGTGCGGGGAGCCAGACAGGCACCGAGCCTCAGAAACAAGTACGGGGAAGGATGCTAATGGACAAGCGGGTCCAGAGCCGTAAAACAGGCGGGCGGGCAGAGACTGCGAGAGGAAGGGCGCGCGACGGAGCGCTCGGGACAGGCAGCCACACAAAGAGCGCGCCCGAGGGAGCCGCCGCGAGGACCGCTCGTAGGCGCGACGCGGCCGGTGGCGGGGAGGGGGCGCACTCCTCCGGCTGAGGGCTCCCCGGCCGGCCCGGGCCGCGCGCCCCACCTCGCAGTAACCCGAGTCGCGGCGCCAGCTGCCCGGGCGCCCGCCTGCCGGCCGGGTGCGGGAAGTCGGGCGTCGGCGCGTTAGGAGCCCAGGGCGAGGAGGACGCGGGGCCTACGCGCAGAGAAAGACAAGTTTCAGGAAGGAAAACGAGGACACTATCTGGAGGAAGAAGACGGGGAAAAGTGCGGGTGCGCCGCGAGGGCGGCGGCGCAGAGCGGGACTCACGCAGCTGAGCAGGGAGCAGACGCCCAGGCAGGCCCCCATGGCGACGGAGCGGGCCGGGGCGCGGGGCCGGGCGCGGGCGCGGATCCGGGGCCCTCCGGACTCCAAGTGTCAGGCTCGGCCCCGCCCCGGCCCCGCCCCTGTCCCGCCCCCACCTGCCGAGGCCGCTCGACACTTTCCGGCGGCGCTCGGGGCCTCCCCCGGCTCACCTGGCGCAGGTGCGCGGGGCGGGACTGTAAGGGGGAGGGACGACCTAAGATTCCAGCGGCCACGCGAGTCGCGCGACCCGACCCAACTCTGGACTAGTCTTGGACCTGGTCTGGACCTAGCTCGTCCAAAGCTAGGATTTAGAAATAGAGTTGGGTGTGAGCTCCAGCAACGCCTCTGTGTGACTCTGGACACTGTCACCCCTGTGTGACTCTGGACACTGTCACCACTGGCAGAATCCAAGAGATGGTCCCGGCTGCCTCCTTGACCCTTGTCGAACAGTCTCTGCGTAATACATGGGTGTTGGATGATCGACTAGATAAACGGGGGCAAGTCGCTTCACCTCTCTGAGCCTCAGTTTCCCCAGCTACAAAGTAAAGATACTTAACCCATAGGACTGCTATCACACATTGTAGTGCTTGATGAAGTGAAGGTGAGCTCCTCTCTAACCCCGCTGTCGTCTCTGTCCTTTCTAAGACCCCAGCTTCTCACTGACTCTCCCCCATCCACCTTCATCCATGCCTTCAACCTCCTCCACTGACCCGAGCAGCCTGTCCTGAGCCACACACTTCCCACAGCTACTCCTGCTTGGTGGCTCCTTGCTTCCTAGGGATGCCCACGCCCTGGACCTCGCTGAGCAGGTCAGAGGGAGGGTCCTCTTGGCAGGTGGCCCCCAGGGGTGGGTATGAGAGCCTGCAGCAGGGCTCTGTAATTACCCCTCTTGCATCCAGAAGTGCCCTCCGCCAGCTCCTCTAATGTTAAGGAAGGTAGTTGTGCGCCTCACTGCTGGCTCCAGGGGCCAAAGATCCAGTGCTTCCTTGGGAGATTCTCAGGGTGCCAGGTGTAGCCATTAATTGTACCAAGGACGGTCCTACAGACACACCCTGCACTTCCCCTCCGCCACACTTTGTCTACATGGTGCCCTGCCTCTAAAGATTCTCTTCCACCCTCTTTTCCCTTCAAAGCCTTGCTCAGGCCCCATTTCATCTCAGTGACGGGAACCACAGCCACCACTCCAGCTCACCACCTCTGCTTTAGCCCTGCCCTCTGCTTCCCTCGCATTTCCAGAGCCACAGGGCCTCCCTGTGTCACACAAAGCCCTAAGGTTGCCTCAGAGCTGGAGTAAGTGAGAACTCTCACCCACAAGGCCCCGTTGGAGGCCCACGGCTGGCCTGAGGGGTAGATTAATTTGCCATCCCAATCTACCAGTAAGAAAACTAAGACTCAGAAGTCAAGAAAGTAGCCCGCTGAAAGTGTTAGAGACCCAGCAAAGTAATAGATTGACATCAGTTTGTTTGTTTGTTTGTTTTATAGTTCTGGTAATCCAACCAGGGTCTTTGCACTGATCTATACCCCAAACCCTTTTCAAATTTTTTATAGGTGCTAAGTCACTAAGCTACCCTACCTGGGCTTGAACTTGGTACCCTCCTGCCTCAGCCTCCCAGAATGGTGGAGTTACAGGTGTGTGCCACCATACCCGTTTCACCTGAATTTTGGCTCTGCCCCTACCTCCAACTACCCCTGCCAAATCTGAGGAAACACTTCACCTCTCTTACTGCAGCCCTCCTCTGAACTAAAGCTGTTTTCTGTTTAATCCAGGGAGGCACCCTAAGAAGTATGCTATTATTCAAAAGGAACGAGACCTCACGCTTGCCAGGCAGGCATTGATGCCACTGAGCTAAATCCCCAGACCTCAGGTTGAAATTTCTCAGAACAAGGAAATGTCCCACCATTGCCCAAGACTAAGTCAGCTAGACCCCCACATCGCCCTCGTCACTGCACAGGGGCAGCCGCTCCGTGGGTAACTCACTGAGTAGGTTTGTCCAGGTAGCTCCTCCTCCTCCTTCAGCCTCATGCTTCTTATCTGTAACATGAAGAGAATCATTTTTGCATTGCTATCTCAGGGAGCTACTGAGGAGATGAAAAAAAATAACAAAGAAGCTTTCCTGTTCAACACTCTGGTCAGCCCACCAGCCTATTCCCCAGTCTAGAATCTCCTTATGGATTCAGAATAACTCTGTGTCTCACACTTCCAGAGTCAAGATCAAATCCATGCAAGTCTCCGACCTTCCTGGAGCCTCACTGGGGGGCTGAGGTTCAGGGCCCAGTGTTCTCACTCAATGCCATATAACTATACCCATTGAGAGAAAGAGACTGGGTCCATTTCCATCCCAGACAGATGCTCATTTCTCAGTCCCCAAAGGGCCACTTACCCCGGGGTTTTTTAATCTGACCTCACTGGACCTCACCTTTCAAATCCACAATATAAGAACAAAACCCTGTCCAAGTCCCCAGTGCCCCCAGCTTCCCCCAACCAATCTTTCCCCTTCCCTCATACCATCCTCCTATCCATGAGGACTCAGATGCAGGCCTGCTTTGAGCCTCCTGTCCCCTGGGCTTTACTTTCTGCACTGGCCTCCACTTCCTGCTTCTGACCCATTTACAGAGCAGAGCTGAGGCCCTCCCTTATGAATATGCATGGAGGATAATGAGAGCTTGGGATGGGGAGGATCTGGGAAGAGGTATCTGGTATCATCATCTCCCCTGGCCACCCCTTACACACCCCAGCCAAAGCTGCCCTTCCTCCCAGAGAGTACCTGGGCATTTGGGGCAAAAACTGAAGTGACAACAATAATATCCACAACAACCCATTTTAAGGACCTACACCGTGCTGGCACCCTGCTAACAGCACCTCCTGAGAGATGCATTTAAGGACTTATTTTCCCCAGTTAGCAGAGAAGAAAATTGATGCTAGCAAGCAGTTAAGTAACTCATAGAGCAATCCAACCTGGAATGTGGCCAGTGATTATGTGCACAGCAGAATGGAACTCATGCTTTCCCCAGAAGATGGGACATCAGAACTGGTGCTTTGAATCCCTGCAGCTCAGATGCGTAAGCAAGCCTTGAGCACGGGGCCACACATGGACCCCACATACTGACACATGAGTCGATAGTGTCTTCATTGACCAAGGTATTGGAAAAAGAACCCAAGTATCAAAAGTGATTTCATTCACCAGAAGTATGGAGACAGGCAGACAGGTGTGTGCATCTTCACATGTGTGTCACACACAGCCGTAGGCACAGACGCTCCTGTGACTGCCCAGTGTTTGCACGTCCCCAGTGCTTCCCCACCCTCTCCCCCTCGGTACTGGGAATCAAATTCACAACCTCACACTTGCCAGGCAGGTGCTGTCCTGAGCTATGTCTCTGGTCCTCCGCATTGCTTTTGTGCCTTGTTTTCAGCCAACAGTTACTGGGCCCCAGGCGTGGCCGAGATACATGGCATGGTGCCCTTCTCTCCCCAGTGCACTTAACACTGCCAAAGAAATCCACTTTCTTTGCAGGAAGCAAGCAGACATGAGAGAGAAGCAAGTGGCAAAGATAGAAAAAGTGGACACTTGGGGCGAGAACTCCTGGGTATGAGTATTCTCTAAAGTCCCTCCAGAGGCCTCCCTCACAGATGTCAAAAGTTTGCCATCAACGCACACGTGTGTGCACGCATGTGCACAAAGCATGCGTGTGGTGTCTGCGATGAGGACACCATGGCTGGGTGCACAGAGGGTGCATACTTGAATTTGGTAGATAAGTAAATCAGATGTGGTTGTGTCCATGTGAGTTGTACATGTAATTGTGTGTGTGTGCACAGGGCCTATTCCAGGAAGGGGAGAAGGACAAAAAAGGTGTCATTTGGTCCAGGCCTCACGTTTATAAGCCTCAAAAATGCATCCAAAAAACAAGACGGAGGCCAGGTCTGATGGCACATGCTTGTAATCCCAGTACGCAAGAGCCTGAGGCAGGAGGATCACCACAAGTTTGAAGCCAATCTGGGCCTCATAATGAATTCAAGGCCAGCCTGAACTACATAGCAAGACTCTGTCTCACAAAACCAACCCCCCCCCAACCGACACACACACACACAAAAAAAAACAAGATGGAAAAAAGAAAATCAAGATGAATGGAGAAGGCAGAAAAACGGGTGGTCAAGGGTAGACATATAGATGGCAGGCCAGGGAAACAGATGGACAGCACGGCAGCTGGAGGGCTGCACAGAGGGGTGGGGAGGTGACAAAGCTGACCGTTGGCCCCAGTGAGGGGTATGTGAGTATTCTTTGCACAATTCTTTTATCCTTTCTGGATGCTCAAAGTGTTTATGGTAAAGTGTGCACTGGAGGTCTAGTCAGAGACACTCACAGATCAGATGAGAGGACAATGTCCATCAGTGAATTCCAGACTTAAACTTACTGCCAGACTATATACCACCATTTTTGATAATTCCTGTGATTATCTTGTGAATCTCTTAATTGCATTGGATTGTGTGTGCATAAATGCTTAAAATGTTAATCGTTAAATAAAAATACATAGAACATACCACAATTGTGACCATTCTGATTAGACCTTTCTTAATTTTTAACTTACCTGGAACCTCAAAACACAGAAGTGGTCTGGGCCTCTCTCAGGATCCCCGCTGAACAAGGGCACTTGTGGGGGCTCAGCACACATGAATGGGTCAGACCAGCCTGGCAGCACAGGCTCCTTGAAGTCCTCATGAAATTACCCCTGTTCTGGGGGTGAGGGGAAGGCTTAGGGTGGAGGAAGGGCAGCCAGCAGCCCCAGGGGAGCACGAGGGACCAGGAACTCTGTCATTTGAGGCTTGGACACGCTCAGGCCCAAGCGGCGTCTGCTGGCCAGCAAGGTGTGGGTGGCTGAAACTCGGGCATTTCCTGGAGCGGGGTGGGGCAAAGACTAGGGGACCAGAGGCTCCTCTCTCCCTCCAGGCATCCCACACACATTCATTACCTCCTGCCTCCCCAGCTCGGCCATCGGCAGCCATCATTAGGCCAAATCTGTCAACATTTTCTCATTTTATAGATGGGGAAACTGAGATGGGGGCTCAGGCCTAGAGAGAATACAGGTGCTCAGACCACACAA